CAGAGCAGCGACGCCCGCTGCCTCGCGCTGCAGGTGGGTCGGGCCGGCGCGGCGGCCCCGCCTTGGCGGGCCAGGGCCCCAGTTACTGCTGGTTGAAGTACAGGCTGCAGATGGAGTTACTGCGATTTAAAAAAAATGCTTTAAAAGAATCAAGTGTTGATAATATATCTGCATCCGGAGTGGTTTGTAAAAGGACTATAGCACAGACCTACCTCCTTATTTCTTCAGTGTTAATTTCTTAAGAACTAGGTTAACTCTACAGAGTCTTCAAGGAGAGTGTTTCCTTCCATTGTTTTTAGTAACAGGACATACATTTAAGTTATGCACTTAAAAAATCCTAAAGTTTTAAAAGACTTCAATTCATCAAACTCAAATATATAACACTACTTTCCCAATATATCCATACCATTTATGCAGTGTTTTTCCTAAAATACAAACAAGTAAGAGCTTTGAACTCTTATTGCATGAGCACATCCAACTACTGAGTTGTAAACATTTGAGAGTTTTTCCTTGGCCAGATTCAAAGTGTGTTTTCTTGGGAATGTGGTCCTGTGAACTCAGTCAGAGGCAGTTCTGCAAACAGCCTTAACAAATAGTCTCTGCCTCCTGTGCACAGTCTCACTGATACGGGCTCAAGCAAAACAAGCATATGTTCAATAGCAGTTAAAATACCATGGCATGAAATAGCATAGAAGAGGCAAAGTGCTGAGGCCTGTTGCTCTAGGGGTCAACTTGGATTTTAATACCAGTACCGAACATTTGTGTAACTCTGTCCTGTGTGTGATGTTTTAATTCGGCAGTAGCTATTCCTCTTTGCAAGTGTGGTACATAAAAAATACTATTACTGTTTTCAAATGGAAAATCAGAAGCAAACATGAAATCACCAATCAAAGGCCACAGAAAGAATCAGAAGGAACACTCAGATTAAAGCTCAAAACCACCACTGGCTCTTAACTCTTTGTTCACTCTTGTTAAATACAACTTGAAAAAGCAATCTGAAATATTTCTTTCAGAAAATTGCTTGCCTTTTGGGAATAGGCTAAAATAGTGACATTAAAGCTATATGCAAGGCTGTGCAACCATTTTAAAATTAAATTTATAGATAATTGTTTCAAAACTTATCCAAAAGTTTTTTCTTGTCTCTGTATTTGGCAAAAGTAAGGCTGTATTAGTTGGTCATCCACTATATGATTACAAAAACAAAAATTCAGCCATTTCCATCTTGATTAAAATGTCTTTTGCTTTCAAATGCATTAATTTGTTTGTGCTTTATGCTCCTGTTCATTACAGGTAGGACTCCGGAAGAGCCATGCTAACCATAAGGAAGAGGGTACATGTTTTATAGGGAGTAAGAGACTGATAACACAGAATCACCCCCAGACCAAGTGCCTTCAAAGCATCCTGAAAGAAGTAGAGCTCATCCGGAGCTCCAGGGACGGACAAATTGAAGAAGCAATTAAGTTCAATGAGGAATTGGAAAGAGAGCTGAAGAGCTCCAGGGAAGCTCTAGCCAACCTGGAAGACTGCAACCGTACTCTGAAGAGGGAACAAGCTGAGATGAGGAAGAAGGTTGAAGAAGCCAGACACGCAGTCCTTAACAGTCTTGGCAAAGTGAAGGAGCTAGAAGTGAAAGCTAATGAAGTGCCACATTTGCAAAAGTATATTCAGCAGCTAGAATCAGAACTGCAGCATTATAGGTAAGTTTGAGTCCATCAAAAATATAGCTATAAAAATATAGCTAAATGACAGTTTTGGAAATCACTGGTTGTAGCTTAACAAATGTCCCGAAGTACATCTAAAATATGGTTAGAAAGAAGCTAGGAGCTACTTACTAATTTTATTAGTAGGGGCTCAGAGATGCCCAATCCAACAGAAGTTAAGCAAGAATTCCTGTTTACAAACAGATGTTATTCCCAAAACTCACTGTAACAGGAGCTAAAGCAGTGGTAATACTTAAAGAAAATCACATAGGGAATTACTTGGTCCTTCACTGTTTCCCAAACACCATAAATTGCTTATTTAAAGTGAAAAAAGTAGCTGATATTCCATTTCCTATTAAAACTGTTCAACTTGACGTTAAGATTAGGAGAAGGCCCACAAAAGGCCAACTTCTGGCCAGCAGCAGTCTGCTGTGACTTTTAGTATTTCTTCTCTAATTGATTTCATTATGAAGTATAATATATTCTATCTAAATATTAGAGCCACTTACAGATATACGGAACTTCTTAAGCACTACATAATTAGCCCATGAGGTTAACAAAATAAAATTTGTAAACCAAGGAAAACAAGAAAAGAAATGGGTTACTGTGGTATTTCCCCAAGGGTTTTGTTTTCACTTTTTTTATATATCAAAAAGATAATTTCACTTTAATAATCTGATTTTAAAGTTATTTTAAAAACAAATAGATATATAGCATAAATCAAAGCACTGCAATTTTCACTTCTTATTCATTACATCTGACAGAAGTTCAATGGTATATCACTGCCTTTCCACCCTACAAACAAGTAAGAAAACCGAGAAAAAGAGAATAATTTAGTGGGAGTCTCAGATAAAATATGCACCATCTAATTCAAAACCACTTTCTAATAGCATAAATACATATGTTTCCAAAAGTAAAAAAGGTGATCACAAACTGTTGCTTTTTATCTTTCAGACAGAAATTTAACTCACTGATAGTTATTAAGTGCTAAAGAATTTTGCCCATTTCAAATTCACCCATGCTAAGAAATGTCTATATCTTTACCATCTCAAAGTAAAACTTGTATTTATATCTATTTTTATTAACTCTACTAAACCTAGTATTTTAATGCACTGACTACTTTAACTGCTTATCTTTTGCTAAACTTATACTTCCTCTGTTTGCTTATATGAAGAATTCATAGCAAGATATTTATGGCATCGTAGCTATTGTACTATTTTATTAAGTGAGGAAATTCTAAAAATAATTACTTTATCCGGTGTCTTTCTATAAGCATTGTGTATGTAATTATCTCTGTGGTTGCAGAAGATAACAGCATTTATTTAAAAATGCTATAGGACTTCAAAAACAGTGGCATGGATGTGTAGCTGTCATTCACAACTCTTACTTCTGAGCCAGATCACACTACTTTTTGAGTATATTGAGCTCTCTCTGGCATGGACAGCAAAGGCTTAAGCTCAGTTCCTGATTTGCAGAATTACTTTATCACAGTATGATGAAGCATAAAAATCATCCTTGATCAGGCATAGATCAGCTAATTAAGGATCAATACGAAATGTCAACTAGGCCTCGTAGAGCATAAACTTTTATGTGCTATAACAACATTAATAAAGATGACATATACATTCTTTTTAATACAGCCCTCTTGTAGAATACTTACTTTAAATCACCAGGTAATTTGAATATAAGTGTAATGCTCAGAAATAATGCTGTCTTGACGGTTTGAGAACTATGCTTTTTCAGGAAATAGAAAATTCACTATGGGACCAGGCCAGCTTCCACATGCCAGACCCTTTAGGTGGTCTTGATTCTGTGGTAGCCATAAAGCATTTTCATTTCCTATGTAAGACTGCTCTTGGCTTAAACAACTTCACAATAGTTGATAGCTATTCCATGATGCTTGTGACTTGCATCAGTGTGGTCATGTTCCATTCTTTTGTCTGCATCCATGTAGTACGGAGATGCCCAAGTTAGCAGAAAAAACAGGTAAATTAGGCAATGTTACTGTAATGAAGTAGCTCGTTTCACAAATGCTTGGATATCTCCGTGCCAGATGGCCATTGGCATCATAGCTTGACTGGAGTCACAAAGGAATAGTGGTCCCACTCACTTCACTTGTGTTACAGATGGCAGAAAACTCCTGCTCAGAGAGAATCACATTCTTCTGTAGCACAGAAGTCCAAAATTCATTGATGTAGTTTGGGTAAGGTGCTAGAAAGGATATGTTGACAGAAACGACATGAGGGACTTAGCCAAAGCGCAGAGACTAAAAACAGCTGTCCCATCCTGCAGGTTTCTCAGACAGTAAATTGGCAAGCATTATTACTTAGAACATTATTTAAGTAAGTACATGTTTCCATATCACAAAAAGATTGTAAGCATGTTAGCAGGATCCAGATTTGACAAAAATTAATCTTGGAGCATGGACAAATGTGTGGAGAATCAAGTATACTACAGAAAGTCTGTAAGGTCACAGACCTGCCTTGTGAGATTTCAGCTTACCTGGCTTTGTGTGGTTACTCTTCTACTTCAGTGAAAGCCTAATTTCTCCCACAGAGATTCATATCCAAGAATGAGACCAGTCTATAAGTTTTTCATGCTCTTCTTGTTCACATTTCTGTTTTTCTAAAGTAAAATAGAAAATGATTTGTTCTTTTAGGTTCAGATTTTCAAAGGCTTTTAAGTATATAAATCCCACTTCTAGACCTATGCTTACACCAACTTCGTATCAGAAAGCACATGAGTCAGAGCAATAACCTTAAGTTATAATCCTTAATTCAGGAAACAACTTCAGTGTGTAAATGTTTGTTCCTGTTCAGGAAAGCATCCCGAGTACCTGCAAGTGATTAAGTGTTTTCCTGAATTACGATACCTAACAACAATTCCCTTTTCTGCCCACAAATAAACATTTTTGCAAATTGAATGCAAAATGTTCCTATTCACATGTGTGGTAAACATTTGCCAAACGAAGTGTGTGGTAAACATTTGCCAAATGAAGTTTGTATGATTAAAATTTTTTTTTTTGAGTACAATTTTCTGTATCACATTTTGAAACTTTTGTATCATATTGCTAGGTTCCTAAGTCAACCTATTAGACTGAACAGTTTATACTTCTTGTCTTAAGGTGTCTTCTGACACTGGATACATTGTCCAGGTTTTGGCTCCTATCTTCTCCACCCTTGCAAATATATAGTAGGGTGTTTGTTTGTTTTAATCCCTGTCAATTTAATGACTTAAAGCTTACACACTTTAAAGGTAAGTCTAGATAAATTCATTATGAAAAGCATGAGTTAAATTCATTTCAGAGGACAATGAAACTACCCAAGAAATTGTGTGCTTTATCACTTAGTAGATTTTATCAGGAAGGTATTATCCACAATGTTAGCATACATAGGAATTCAGGAACTTTTGCAGGTCCCTACGGTTCTGCCCACGCAATTATTTTCATTTTGCACTGGTGCAGTTGGTTTTATCTTCCTAAATGTATGACTTTTCATATTATGGAAGCTCAGCTTTTTGATTCTGCACAAATTTTCCAGTTTCTCAAGATGATTTTGAGTCTAACCACCAGAATGCTCTCATTGCCTCCCAATTTGGTGTCAACTTTTGAAAAAGGAAAGTTGAAAGTATAAATGAATATAGTGATGAGAACTGGAGCTGGAACAGATTCTGGTGACCTCTGCTTGACATATCCTGAAGGTAACCACTGATAGCCATTCCTTAAAATATTTTTTCAACGAGCTTTGCTCTTACTCAAGGTGACACCTGCCATCCATATATTCTAATATAGTCCTATGATTTACAGTATTATAAGAATGCCATATGTAAAAAACTTACAGTAAAAATGCCACATCTACTCCTTATCCACTCAGCCATTTTTCTTGTCAAAGAAGGAAATTAGATTGGTTTGACATGAATTGTTCTTGCCAAATATAAGTTGGCTCTGTTTTCTACACTGTATTACCTTGTTAATGGCTTATAAATGGATAATTTAATCAAGTTTACAGATTTTTTTTCTCCTTCATAGCACTGGGAGGAATAACAGAATTTGGCAGCTTGTCCCCCTGCCTCTGTCCTGCCCCCTCAGTGCAACAGATAAAAAAAAGAATGGTCACTCAGAATTGAAACAGATTAAGTAATGGAGATGCTCATAGAAATTTTATGTTGCTATGCCAGCCAGCAGCACAGTAATTACAGAGGTCAGTGGAAGGGGTCATAAAATAACGAAAATGCTTCTGATATGCACAATCTGTCTCTCAAATTACTTAATTATCCATCAGCATTTATGTGTTAATGGGTAGGAATCCTTTCTTACACAAAACTCAGAGTCGCTTGTTTCATTGCCTCATATTCCCTTATTTATAAGAGTATGGATGCCTCTAGCATAATTCCCCTATTTGTTCCTCTGACATAAAGTCACCAGTGCTAATTTTTTGAAGTAATTCTCCTCTACATTAACCTATATCAGATACATATATATATTTTCCTGTTATCTCTTTTTTCTTTTTTTTTTGTTGGAGACAATGTCCTGATCCTTGAAATATTTTCTAAGATCATCACACTTTAAAATTTAATAAGATGATGAAACAAATCCAAATCAATAATCCCCTCAAAAAGAGTAACATAGAAATATTCCTAACTAAATCAGTTAAGTGGAAAGAAAAAGGCTTAAGAAGGAAGCAGTATCCACAAAAGAAGGTGTACATAAATAGGTTATCTACAATCTGAGTGATAATTTACACTTTATATTCAGGCACTCTAGAACTGTTCTTTCATTTAAAAAAGTGACATTAAATAAAAATACATGAACAACTTCTACTTGACTTTTTGGCTGGACATCATTATCATCTACTCCCAATAACTTGAAATTGCTAAAGCTTGGGTATTATTTTAAATCTGACCTACTAATTGCATTCATGAAGGCTTATGCTTTTAAAATGAACAGTGCATAGAAGTGAAAAACAATGATAGTAATAGAACTAAACACATGTATGGTG